CTTTATCATCCAAACTATCATCTCATTTCATAATCTCTCATATTCATAATTTCAAACTCAATTATTCTTCATTGCAAAATTATATCATAAAATTCTTTTGATAATATTATTGAGCACATAATTTAAAAGTATATGAAATTCACCTTTTTATCCTTTCTTTTTTTTAAATGAAACAATTTTGATCTTTTCGTTTTTCGATAAAAATTACTTATTGGAATGCAATTTCATTTTCATATTTAACAGAGATATGCAAATATCTTCCTTTCTTTTACTTTCTTTCTTTTATTTCTCTTCTTCAACACATTTTCTTTTATTTCATTAATCATTTGCTTTTTTACTTTTATAAGCATTTATTACTTTAAGTTTTATTTTACTCTTTTTTACTTGAAATCAAATTTAAATTATTACTGATTCATTCTCGTTATGATCGATCCTTCGCCACATTCCTCTCTAATTCATTATCACTATCTTTACATTCCTTTCCAATTCCTTATCACTATCTTTACATTCCTCTCTAATTCATTATTATTATCTTTACATTTCTTTTTGATATAATATCATTATCTTTACATATCTCTTTGATCCAATATCATTATCTTCACATTCCTCTTTGATCCGATCTTATCAAAATGTTTCTTTTTTTCCTTTCTCTTTATGATCGATCCTTCGCCACATTCCTCTCTAATTCAATATCATTATCTTTACATTTCTCTTTGATTCCGATATCATAATTATCAGAGTAATTTCTCCTTCTTATCGAAATGTTTCTTTCTTTTTATTCGTTGTTGTTGTTGTTGTCAGTTCATTTCTGAAGAGAACATATGGTACAAAAGTTAGTTCATTTTTCAATAATAAATAAATAATTTCATCGAAACCTTTCAAATGGCAATTTAATCCATTTCAAATAAATTTGTTCAAATAGAATGGATAAGAAGGAAATGGAAGAAAATAATCCAACTCTATTCGTCTCCTTTTTTTTCTCTGTTTTAAATTTTCAGTTGAAATGAAAATGAAATTCTTTTCTCTTCTTCACTTCCAAATGATATCATCATTTATGTCTGTCTCTTTTTTTCGTTTACACATTTCATTTTTCTCTATTTCTTTCTTTCTTTTGTTTATAATCTAATCATTTTCTCATATTCTTTTTGGCAACAATTATACTATGCTAAATATAATGAATAGTTAAATGATTTTTTATCAAATTTTTTTGAATTATCACTAGTTCAAAATTGCTAAATAAAATTATCAAAATTTTTGATATGATAAATTCTTCATTACTCTTCCACCATTTTCTATTCCTTACTTATTTACTTATTAACAATTCTAATCTAACATTCGTCCATCTTTATCTTTTATTCTATCTTTCAAAATTCACTTTTTTCTTCAATTTATATCTGCGCCATTTTTAAGGGATCAAATTTAAAACACGTACATATATCTTCTGTACCATTTTTAAGGGATCGAATGTAAATCACATACATAGATCTCCGATGTTAATTTTTAATTTTAATTTTATTATAAAATTTTATTCAAAAATTTTTTAGCTTTAATTATTTCTCTTCTCTTCATTTTCTCTCAACTATAATTGACCGATATATTAGCTAAATTCAAATAGATCTTAACTATAATTGACCGATACAATAGCTAAATTCAAATAGATCTTAACTATAATTGACCGATACAATAGCTAAATTCAAATAGCTCTCAACTATAATTGACCGATACAATAGCTAAATTCAAATAGCTCTCAACTATAATTGACCGATACAATAGCTAAATTCAAATAGCTCTCAACTATAATTGACCGATACAATAGCTAAATTCAACAATCATCCTTTCCTTCTTTTGTTCAATAATAATATGCGCTAATGAAAAACACATAATTTATTCTTTCATATGGAAACAATAAATTTTTAATTTTTAGATAATTTTAATAACAACATCAAAAATGCTTAATCCGTTAACGAAGCCTTGTCCAGACATTTGTACACCGGATAATGTATCACATAATGTATCACTAGTCCGGAATAATTTTTGCTGTAAGTTTAACATTAATTTATATTATATTCCATCTGAAATTATTGAATGAAAACTTTTTAAAATGAGATAATGTTGTAAATTTAATGCAAAGTTAAAAGGAAAAACAAAAGCGATAATTATTCAATGAACTAAACTATTCAAACTTTTGCATATATTTATATAAATATAATTCTGCAGCAGGAGATGATCGACAACATTGGGCGTCAACAAAAGGCGCATTTCATCAAAGTTTTGATGAACAAAATCAGAATAGTATGGAAGAACTCAGTAATTCATGTGTTAATTTAAATGATCCGGTGAATTTCTACTATTTTTTAATTAACTATTAAACTACTGTGGTTTTTAATTAGAATAATTAACACATCAGTGAGTAAGGAGTAATTAACGATATCACGAAAATTAATGAAGAAAAAGCAAAATGAATTTTCAATTTATTTGTCGAAAAAAAATGCCAACATATCAAAGATAAATTAGCTTACTCATAGTTCTGTCAATTTAATTAAAAGATTAATGAATAATTAATTAAAAAATTAATAAATTGTTTAATAAAAAACAAAAGAAAATAAATTTTTTATTTGTGAAAAATGCGCTAAATTAAATTTATAAATGAATACGAAAAAATTTTTCCCTTTTGTTTTTGAGAGATTAGAGAAAATATGCAAACTAATAGAAAGGAAAAAGCGAAACGAAAAAGAAAAAGCAATCTGTCATTTGTCAAATAAATTATACTTTCGATCTATTCTTTGCTAACTATTCAAAAACTATTTCAAATTATCATTCAATTGACTTCTCTGACTTAATCTATATCTATATATTTTACTTTATAGTATAATAAAGATAAGTTATATTTTAAAATTTGATATAAGTTATGAACTCATTTTGATAATCTTATTATCAACAAAAAGGAAAAATGAAAAGAAACTGTTTAATGATCACTTAAAAGATGAAATAATAGCTATTGATATATTTTGAACGATTGAATTATCATATTTTTTGTCTTATCATATCTTTTATCTTGCTCGATTGAATTATCATATCAATCTGATAGCACATATTTTTTGCATAATTTCTTTACTATTTTCATAAAATAAATTTCGATCGAAATTATCATTTTTAATTTATAACTCATTCAATAAATAATTACTTCATTTTAACAAATCACTCAACACTTTCAAATGGAATATAATATATAAATAAAGCTACTAAACTTTTTACTTCATTTCGATCGATATATTAGGTTGCAGGAAATTTTTTGAAATATTTATTTCCATTCACTCATATTTTGCTTCATCTTTAAAAGCTATGCATTTTGCAGTAAATATATATATTATAGATCTTATAGATAATATTTGCATTTTTTTCATTTTTCATCATTTAAATTTTTTATCGCTTAATTTTTCATCGTTTTATTTATATCACATAAAAGAGAAATACCGCTGATAATTTTTCACCTCTTTCTGATGTCTTTATATATATTTTTTTAATCTGCAAGATATTACAATAGCACCCGAAATTATCAATGATTTTATTTTTGTCATAAAATTTAACTGATTGAATTGGTTATCTTTAAAAGAGGTCATAGGTTATATAATTCCATTTGTTTTTTTCTGTTGATTTACAATCATTTATCTATTTATATCCGTATGAAACGATTACTTCAGCCGTTGCAATTTTTTCTTAAATTTTTAAAATTTGAAAATTTAATTTTTATCATTTTGAAATCATTTCAATTATCAGAATTCTTGCACTAACTCTCTGATAACATTTTGTTATCATCGATTATTATCATTAATTTATTCATATTAGATAATTTCCCCAAAATATCTTAGTTAAATATCTCTTGATGAATTAAATTATTTATAATTTCTTTAGGCAAGGGCTTTTACAAGTTCTGTTTAATTTCAAAAATTAAAAATTTAATAAAATTTTTACGATTTTTTTTAACGATTTAATTATTCATTAAAATGTAAATTTCAGCGTTCAATAATATATTCAAACATTTTCAAATGAAATTCATTTTTCTTCTCTCTCCTGAAATTCAATCTTTTTTCCTGCTAATGAAATTTTATTCTTTATTTTTTGCAACTACACAGAAAGTTTTAGTAAATGCTTTTTAATACAGTAAGATTAATATCTTGTATGGACGAATGATAAGATAAGATAAGGCTTTTATCATTAGTGATATAAATGCCTTAAATTACTTTGTTTATTGAAAAGTGAAAAAGAATTTATTCCAATTTTATTCAATCAAAAATTTTCATCCATTCGATAGATAAGCGATGAAATTTCATTTCGAAAACTTTCACTTCAAAATTATTCCAATTATTACATTTTTCGGAAATATATTTTTTGGATAATTTATTCCATTATTACATTTTACGGAAATAGACAGTATTTCTGAAATATATTACTGACAGTTAATGACAATTTTTATACTCAAATTTTATTAATTTTAAAAATGAAATAGGAAAAATAATGAAAATAAAAATAAATTGTAATAGTTATTTTTCTTGTTTGGCTTGAAAAACATATTCTAATTATAAAAGATGCAAAACTTTTATTGACTTCAATGGTAAGGGATAGCTGATAAAAGCTATAAAACTTTTATTGACTTCAATGATAAGAGATAGCTGATAAGAGATAAAAAACTTCTATTGACTTCAAAAAAAATACGTATCGCCACTTTATTGTCGAAAAGAGAATAAAAGAAAAATCTGTTATCTTTTATTTGATCAAAATGAAATAATTCAACAGGTAAGAGAATAATTTAGTGAAATTTGAAAATTAAATATTTATTTATGTAACAGTTAAGATGCAATCAAATCTTTCACTTTATTAATTAATTTATTAATTTGAAACTTTTAAAAAATTACATTTAAAATAAATTATAATAATTATCAAAAAATTTTCATGAGTTGGATTGATTTTATTTTCAACATTTCTTGCAGAAAAACTCTTTAATGATACGTCGTTCAGCATTTTCCAGCAGTGTGGGACGAGATTATGCACTTTCATCATCTGGTTGGAGTGGGCCAACAAATTCTCCTGGTAATTCCATTCATTCCATTTATCTCTAATTCATTCCAAATGGATTAAAAAATTTCAATTATATTGATTTGTTGAATTTCATTTTTCTTTAATGTAAACGAAAGTTTATTTCATAAAGAAAAAGATGAAAGTTCTTTTTTAAAAAAATTTCTGAATTAATTTTCTTGCGTTTCTTTATTATCACTTTATTTCGTTCAAGTTTTGATTAAAATTATAATGATAATGATTAGACAAAGAATGAAAAGATAATGAGTGATAATTTCAGTTTGTTCAACTACTACTGGTAAAGGTAATGTACGTATACCGGTTCTTGGAGGACGATCATTGCAATCCTCATCGGATTCCAATGGTGTTGGACAGGTTTATAAATATAATCATTGAATTTTAATTTTTTTGAAATTTTCTCTTACAATTATTGTTTCTATTTTTTTCACTGAATAGAAGATTTTTCATGAATATTTAATAAAGGTTAGTTTAGTAATCGTTTGAATTCGGAATTTGTTAAAGATAACCTGAAGAAGTCTTCTCGTAATCACAAATTTGCTTAAGGATAAAAGTTAAGGATAAAGAAATGCTAAATGAAAATCCTTTAGCTTTATAATCATAAAGTTATCATGATCGTGATCATTAAAATTATTATGATCATTTAAATTACGTTAAAATTATAAAGTTAAAAATCACTTAAAAAATTTTTTATTTTCAAATATTAAGTAACAATTTAAAATTTTAATTTTCAGTTATTTGCACTTCTGTATCCTATTTCATTTGTAATATTTATGCTAATTGTAATTATTATTGCAAATTAATTTAAACAATTGCAACAATTATAGATTTCGATGAATTTAATGCGTGCTAATGGAGCGATTGCACCATTCAAAGCATTGTTAACAAATCTGATAAGTTCACCTGGATCAACATCACCAATTGTACCAATAAAATCTGAAAGAAGCGCTTCCTCGCAATATCTTTCCAGCAATGTTAATCTAAAGAAACTTCATAAAATTGGATCACATTATGTGCTGGAAAATACCAACCGGAAAGATGGTAGCCCAAACCGATTGTTTGATGCACCAATTGTAAACGTTGAAGGTTAATATTTAATATCTTTTTTTTAATTTTAAAATTTAGAAATGAATAGCGCTAAATAAATCTGCTGGTTGTAGTATTAGAATATCTGTAATTGTACAACAGCTCTCCTTCCTTCTTGTTATATATCCATCATTCCTAAAATTGAAATTCTTAAAATACAACTCCATTTTACTGCAACGTTTCTTTTCTCCATCTCTATTGACTTTAGTATTTGCAAAAATTTTTTAATTTGTTTAATTAAAAACATTTTTAAAATATCACTTTCCATCTGTTACAATTACTATATATACTGGCTAACTGGACTGAACTTATAGCGATTATCTTCTTGTGTTATACCAAACTAAATTAAAAGCAGCCAAAGTATATTTTATCAAGATTGGATTTTGCACTCATTTTCTATTTATACAAATCAAATTTTATCTTTACTTAGGTCATTGGTCATCAATGCTGCTCATCTATCATAAGATGGACATCTAACATTATCTCTTATATTATTATGCTATAAAAATTTTCGAGAGTATGCACATATTGTAATTTAACGCAGCGATTGATAGCTAATGACACTTCTTGTGAAAAATGTTGAAACCAACAAATCTACGCAATCATTTAGAGTAGTTTAAAACTATCACAATAGTAATGCAGTAATTTCCCACTATTGCAACAACTTGCAATTATACATTTGTGCAATATTTACCTTTCTACATCTTAATTCCACCTGTGCACACGAAGCAAATTAGCATGTAAGAATTATTACATCAAACCCTTTTTTCATCCCAAAGTTAGTTCATTTCGGTTAGAAAGATAAATATTCCGCAATTAGATAATTTCGTTAAATTCATTAAGAGAATAATTATAGAAAGACAATCTTAACAATATGTTCTTTCTCTAATCAATCAATGAATGTATTTTTGAAATTTCAAAAATATCAAATTTAAACTTATCATTTATTTGTTGTGATTGACTACAATGTAATTCTGCAATGAAGAATAGCGCTGCTCCGTTTCTTCTTTTTTAAAATGCTTCAAAATATATATTTGCTATTAAAATTTCTTTCATATCATTCCACCGAAAAAAAAAGAAAACAATGAAAGGGAAATTTTATTGACAGATTATTGCAAGCATAAAATAAAACAAAAAAGCTAGCTATTCGAATAATAATGAACTACTGCAAGCATAAATTTGATCTAACTAAAAGGCAAAAAACTTTGTTTGCATCATTTCTATTCTCCTCCCATTGTTTAACTTAAAAATTTTACAAATCATTTCTTCTCAATCAGAAGGCAACTAACTAAATCTGTCAGCAATTTTCATTTCCTTTTTTTTTTTAAAGTTTTCAATTTAAACAAAAAAGGAAAATTAGATAATTAGTTTATTTTCTATATTCTTTTAGCAAATTCAAATTAAAAGCAAAATAAATTGCTGTTGTTTCTTTTGTTAATTAGCATAAATAGTATTATCAAAAATGTTTAAAATATTAATAATAATTTATAATAATTTGAAATGACAAAATTTGAGAAACTATTAGAAAGTAAATTTATTATCTAGAAGTGTGCTATTATCGTTATTATCACCTTAATAGTAGAAGTAGAGAGAGAGAGAGAGAGAGAGAGAGGCAGGGAGAGAGAGAAAGAAGTGATATTCGATATTGTATGAAAATATATAACTTAAATATCGAAAATTCTCTTTTATTTTTTTCATCTTTCTGGATTGTTGCCATTTTTCCTTTGCTTAACAAAATAAGCGAATAGCTTTTGAAGTCGCCTAAAATTATTTTATTAACAATTTTAATTAAAATTATTCTAAACCTGAAATTATTTTATTAACAGCTTTAATTGGAATTATTTTAAAACCTGAAATTATTTTATTAGCAATTTTAATTTTTCACGAAAAATACGATTGATAAAGAAATTGAAATGTTGAAATTATTTCTTCCAACATTATTTGTTTCTACAAACTTCTTCAATATAAATTATCTTTTTTTGTGGGAAAAATAATTAACACTTTCGTTTGTCGGTTTATTAAAAGAGAAAAACGATAATTGCTAGCATGAAATGAATATAAAGTTGATTAATGCTGTATGGCTCGAAGTAATGAAAATGAAAAATTTATTAGCAAATTTTAATAAGTGCCAAATTTCGCTTCATTCTTTCACCTATCCTTAAATTAGATATTTTCGAAATAGCTGTCAATGAAATGTTATAAATTGAAATTCATAACTTGTTGTCATTTATTGAAATAAGTAAGTAAGTGTTCAGTAGAAGAAGGAATTATCATATCATCAAAATTTCACATATTTTCATTTGTCTTTCTTCCAACAAAAAAAATAAAATAAATGATAGAAATATTTTGAATAATTCATCTTATTGTTATTAGCAGCTTTGAATTAAATTAATTGCTTATTTCCATTTACAAATCTCATTTCTATATTTTCATCACTAATTACATTCTATCCGATTTAATGACAAGAATTTTGAAATGAAAAATTATTTAAATTTCGGGATATTTTATTTAGCATTTATATCTTTGTAATTTTTGAGAATGTAAGAAGGAACAAAATTAAAAGTAAATTTTGAAAGAAAAGAAAAAGAGAAAGATAAAAGAGTTGTGAAGAGAGAAATGAGTAAATTTTGAAATTTCAATTTTACAAGACATTTTCATTAAAATATCAATTAGCAAAATCTATTTGAAAAGATAATGGTAAATGAATCCATGCCTAAATTTATATTGGTTTCAGACAAAAAAAGGCCTTACTGATCTATCATTCATACATTTTCATGCCTATTTTTCTTATCATAAAATTTTAACCTTTTTTTAGCATTTCATTAATTTCAAATCGTTTCTATTTCATATTTCCATTTCCTATGCAAAAGTTCTATTTCAAATATTTTAATTATAAAACTTTCATTACCTTCGCTGCTTTGTTTTTTGATCTAAGCAATGTAATATTGCCTATATTTTACAAATAGCTCTGGCATTTTTAAAAAAATAAGCAACCTAAATTTAACCCAAAGTTTTTTCCTTCAAATTAAATCTATTTTTAATTAAATGATTAAGGAATATATATATATTGTTTCCCTTATCGGTAACTGATAGTTACTGTGTTCAGATTAGGAAAAATAATGTAAGAAATTTCATTCAGCCAATTTCTTAACAGTACAAGTATTTATCATTATTTGATAATATCAGTTAGATTTTAATTTCTCCCGATGGAAACACGTATGGTACACTTGCTGATGGAAACACATATAGTCCGTTTAGATTTATACGTGAATACGTGAATGTACGTGAGCATTTTTGAATGGATTTGTTCATAGTGTAAGTAATGTTTTACTTTTTACAGCATACATATACGATATTTTAAATCATATGGTTTGTTATCAGTTAATTAAAACATTTGTTTAATTCTCTTTCTCTTTAACTTCTGAATTTCCTTTTTCATTGAATCACTTTAACTTGGATGATTCTTTCTTATTTAAGGTTAAATTTTTCATTAGCCTTTTTCTTTTGCCTATTTAATTAGCATTAATTAGACGAGTAAAAATAAGAGCAAAGAGGAAGATAACGTCAATCATGCCTTAAAGAATAGTTGATAAAGAAATTCAATGAAAGAATTTGTACTTTACGAAATCCTAAGGGGAATTTAAACTTTTCAAATTCATTAATTTCTTTGAAATTAAAAATTAACGAGTATAGTACCATTCAATGTGTGGTACCATTCAATATGAAGGATAAGTATAGCTGAATTATTCTCATACATAATAGATAATTTAAAATGTTAAAATTCATTAAAATTTCACGTTAAAATTCATTTACAATAAGATAATTCAAAATGTTAAAATTCATTCAAAAAATTGTTAGTATTAATGAGTTAATTATTATTATAAAAATAATGAACAATTTTATTTTCCAACAAAAAAAAGATTTATCAAAACTTTTGGAAAAGTTTATTGTTTGGAGGGAAGACGGAACGGATTGGAAAGAAGACGGAATGGATTGGAGGGAAGACGGAACGGATTGGAAAGAAGACGGAATGGATTGGAACCATAAATTTTTTAAGATTTGTTATAATTAAAAAAATTTTTTTAAGCCACATTTCCCATGCTTAATTTATCAAATTTATCAAACCACATTATCACCATTTTTTATGTTTGCTTGCAAATAAACATTAAGTATTCTTGTCTTAGAATTCTGATTTATGTAATATAGTAAGCTTTAAGTAGAACTTTTTCGAGACTAATGTTAGGAATTGTACATTTATCACTGATAATTGGCAGTTAGAAATTCAATCTCCAATTAATTTTGATTATCTGTAAATCATTTTGAATAAATAAAATTAAACAATTAGTGCAGCTATTAATTGGTTAATTGAAATTTAGGAGAACAAGAGTCAAAGAAATCATTATCGCTTGTGCTTAGCGAAGATTTGGAAGGTGAACGAACGGCAAATGATGGTTCGGAAAGTCCATTAATGAGGAAAAAAGAGGCGAGGTGCTTTTTTTTAGGTATTTGTAATATTTTTGGAATTTTAATCGAAATTCAATAAATTAATATTAATATTAAATGAGCTTATAAGTATAGTAATTAATTCTTCGAATTACCATTGTATTAATAATATAAAGGTAGGTTATTGTGTGAATTGTCGCATTAAAGTAATTGCTATTTCAGTGGTGGGCGGTTAATTAGACGTCAATCATTATTTCATGTACGACGGGTTACCAGTGATTATGCTTTGTTTTTTGCAACGATTGGAATTGGTACGTACGTACGCTTATCTGCCTTTTAAAAAATTCTTTCTAAGATTTAAATTATTATTTAATTTTAAAATTTTTCAACAAACTAATTTTAATCAAATTTCAGCTTTAATGATAATCGACAGTGAAATGACAGCTGCTAAAATTTATCAAAAAGTACAATTTTTCAATATTTCACAACAAAAAGAAATTATTGCAATTTTTTAAATGATATTGAAAATAGTTTTTTTTTTACTTTTAAATTTTAATTTATTATTGATTCGTACTTACTTTTCAATTTTTACACTTTAAATTTATTATTATTTCAGGGATTATTTATAAATACGATTTTAAAAGTGTTAATATTGTTAAGTACAATTGTTTTAGTAGTACTTGTTGTCAAATTTCATGTCCATGAAGTACAGGTAAGCAGTTTTCTTTAATTAAATGATAATCTCAAAATATATTTATACCGTTGAGTAGAATATCTAGGATTTAGGGTGTCATTTTTGCTAAATATGCTACGACAAAAGCGCTTTGCCTTGAAATTCTTTTTTCCTCTCGAAATATAAACATCTATTATAAATGACTAAAAACTCATTTGAAACATTTTTATTGTTGATGTCCATTATGGCAAATGTAAACTGAAGGAATTCACTATGCTGTCACATTTTGCGCCTCAAAATTTGATTATATGTTGTAGTTATTTATGAATGCAAACAGTGCAGAAGATTGGCGAATAGCCATTACATGGCAACGTGGTTTACAAATTGCTCTTGAAGTAATGGTATGTGCAATTTGTCCACTTCCAATTGATGTCAATTTTCAGTGGACGGAATCCGATGGTGATACGGTAGATGTTTCACATTGAATTAAATTGATTTATTTTAAGTTAATAACTTCTGTATATTCAACATGACAGCTGCGTTTTCCAATTAGAAGTTTACTCTTCAGATTATTCAAATATCTAATAAGAACGAGAAATTTACGCATTTGTAATTTTGACATGTTTGTTTGGAAGAGTGAAATCTTCAAATGCTACATTTTATGCAGCATTAAAACTTTTACTTTTAATTAAAACTTCAATTATTCAAGAAAAATTGTATTAAAAAAACCGGTTTCTTCCATTCTATAACAAACAAAAGCTAAGAGGATAATTAATTAAAAGGTGAGAGGATATATGTTACATCTTCAACGATCTTTCACCTAATTTTTTAATCACTAGAAATTATAGATAAAAGCAGTAGAGCTACCACTTGATGTCTTCTTATCAATTCCAATGTTTTTTCGATTATATTGGTTATGTCGCGTTATGCTATTGCATAGCCGGTGAAAATTTTTTTCTTAATTAATTGTTTCAAAAATTTAAACTAACTTCTATTTCAATTTTAAAGCATTGATATTTGATGAAAGTTTAAATTATCATTAATGTATACATATGATTAAAATCTAAATATAGGAGTCATTGATAATTTATTGATTAAAAAAACAATCAATAACATTATTCATCTCAGATTATTCACCGATGCATCCTCAAGGAGTATTGCTGGTCTCAATAGAGTTAATTTTAATGCGCGGTTTATTTTGAAAACTCTCATGACATTATGTCCCGGTACGTATATTCTATCTATTATGAAATTTAAAGTTTTCTTTTCCGTAATTCATGATTAATTCATTAAAGGTACTGTACTTATGGTATTTACTGCATCATTGTGGGTAATTGCAGGATGGATTCTCAGGTTGTGTGAAAGGTTTGACTTCTTTTTTTTCATGAAATTAATTTTCAGTATGAAAATCCACCAGCTCTTTCTATGAAATCTTCCATTCTTTGCAAGCTTTTGTTTTTCTCCGTTAATTAGAGAACAAGAATCTTTAATTACGATATCTGATGAAGTCAAATTTTTGTTGTAATATATTTTGCATAATAATTCAATATTATTAAAATTTAAATTTAATAATAAATACTTCATGAAATTTTGCAGATATAATTGAATATTTTAAATTTCGATCAATTTATAGGCATTATACTGCTGATCCAATTAATATTCATGCACAGAAGCATCAAGATTATCTTAATTCTTTATGGCTTATTGCAATAACATTTCTTTCTGTTGGTTATGGTAAGTTTATATCTATCAGATTACAAACTATAGCAATATTATGATTATGATTATGATTTGTTAATATCCTGCTAAGTAATATTAAAAGTTTTGAAATTGTTTAATTTTCAAAAAATTTTACAGGTGATATTGTACCAAATACATATTGCGGGCGTGCAATGGCCGTTATTACTGGTATTTTAGTAAGTTTACTTTTGCTTTTCATTTTTTCGCATAAATAGTAATAATTTATTTCTAACAGAAATTTTCCAATAATTTTAATTTATTAATTAAAGTAATTAATAAAAAGCAATAATATAACAATTAATATAAAGCAATTAATAGAAATTTTAAAAATAATCCAACTTTTTTTTCGCTATTTCTATTCGAAATCATTTCAAAAATGAATTTGCAATTTAAGATTTCCATAAAAGATTGAGTTTGTAAAAGATTCTAAAATGAATTATTAAAGATTTCTATTAAAGTAGGAGAATTACTTTTAGGGTACATGTACATCATCAATGGTGGTGGCAGTAATAGCACGAAAGCTTGAATTAACTCGTGCTGAAATGCATGTACATAATTTCATGATGGATACACAACTTACCAAACAAGTAATCAATTTTTATTTAATATTTTGATCCTGTGAAATTCTCGTTTTTTTCTACTTTTGTAAAAATATCTATCAACCACAACAAATTCATAAGTCATAGTTGTTAAAGATTTCATTTCTCTTATCACTAATATCATATCACATCACTCATTCAAATTTTAGTTGAAACATACAGCAGCAAATGTGTTACGTGAAACGTGGTTAATTTATAAACATCGATGTTTGGTGGATAGAATTGAACCAGCAAAAATTCGCATGCATCAGCGCAAATTTTTAGTTGCAATCTATGCGTCAGTAATTTATGAAAACTTTTTCATTTTCTTTTTCGAATCTAAAATTCGAATTTCAGCAAATTTAAGAATTGCTGATGAAATTATTGTATGATTGATTTAAATTTTAGATTACGAAAAGTGAAACGAGATCAAAGGAAGTTGACAGAAAATTCGGTTGCTCTTGGTGATATCGCAAAGGTTTGCGATCAGTTATTATAATTTAGACGACCAATTATTACAATATTGTGAAATTTGAATTCGTTGCTTTTAATGATTTAAATAAATACAAATTTATGTTTAACCACCTCTACTCACTTATTCCATTCATTTTTTGTACTGTAACCTGCAATTTACAATTTGCAATTTGTAATCTTAAAATTACTGCTCAAATTTGATGCATAATTAATTTTGTCAAATAAATTAACTAATTAGAAAATATTTATCCAGTTGAAATCATACATTTTTGGTAAGTTAAATTAAATTAAATTAATTATGAATGAATATTTCAGACTGCATCAAATACGTATGAATTGGTGCATGATGTTCAAAATAATCAAGAAGGCTTATCATTACGAATGACCGCTATAGAGTATCAGCTAGCTGATATTAATCGTGGTTTAAGTGCATTGATCGAATATTTGCGACCAAATCGAATTTTAAAAAATGCTAATCTTGCAACATCCGGAAATATTACTTCACATGATAATACTGTAAAAAGCAAATGTAATGCAGTGGAAAGTTGAAAATTTTACCTGTAATTAAAGGAAGTATAATCAATACTTTGATAATTTAACTTCCAAATTTCTTTGTTTATATTTTATGCATATGTGTAAAGAACGATAAAAATTTTCATTCCTAATTTTTCCATTTTTTTTTTACCTTTTGATTATGAATTTCCTGAAGAAAACAATTAGATGAAAATTAAAGTAATATCGGAAAAAGGAATTTAAAGGTAAAATTACTGAATGAAACAAATGCACTCTAAAATTAAATCCATTTTTTTCATCAATTAGAAATATAAAATTATTTGCATTGAAAAATTTACAAGTTCACATATAGTTTAATTATTTATTAGAAATTAAAATTTAACTGAGAGCTGTTAATTTTAATATTAAAATTCGGAATAAGAATAATGGAAATAGCATTTGATATACAGGAAGAATAAGTAATGGTTGAAGAAATTAAGATGAATATTATCGATTCTTTGCATATATAAATGTTTTTTTGATTATATTTTATTTCATGACAACTTTTTAAATTGAAACTCATCGACTGCTAGTAATTTGTTTACAATTTGTTTACATTGTTTACAAAGTTGTTTACATTTTCATTTTCTCATATGTCAAAAAGCGTATAACAAATTTTAAAACATGCCAGTAATATAATAGAAAAATATGCGAAAGGTAAGCTAATAAGCTAAGAATGAATTTACACTAAGTTTGAACTTTGTTCTCTTAAATACATGACTAAGAATGTCGAAATAAATTATGCAACGATAAAACGATCGAATAAAAAGTAAAATCATTTTTCTCTTCTTTAATTTTAAGATTTAATTTTTTTTCTAAACACAATTTGGCTATCACATACTTCAATAGTAGTTATTCATCAAAACTAATATGTTTGAAAAAATTACATAAGAATTTGAATGATCCGATGATATGATATTAATTGATAATCTTCAATCATTGATTCTGTTACAAATAACAAAAAATTACATAAGAATTTGTATGATCCGATGATATGATATATGACATGATATGATATTAATTGATTATTGATTCTGCTACTGATAACGAATGTTATTATGCACACAAAAAATTATTTTTCAAATTAAACGATTATATATGTGTTTTAATCTTTAGAATCACTAAGAATTTTTTAATAAGGTTAAAAGGGAAATGAGCTAATTTTTTTGAATTTAAAATGAAAAAAGTTTGGAAATTTCGGATCCAATTAAGACTATTATATTGCATTTGTAATATAAGCTGTAAGCTTCTTTTTCTTCGTTTTCAAACTTTTACATGGATCGATAGAGATTTGATAAAGGGAAGGAAATAAGCAAAGAGAGAGAGAAAGAGAGAGAAAAAAAGGAAAATATTTTATAGCAGAAGTTCTTTTATTGGTAAATAAAAATGTATGTTTTGCAAAATTTTTTAGCATCAAATTAAAATAGATGCAAAAAAATATTTTTAATATCAATTATGCATATAGGCTTAAGCTTTAGGCTTGGATTTAGGCTTGGATTTAGGCTTAAGCCTAGCTAAGTATATTTGAGAGAAAAATTCATTTGAAAATAAGAAATTTAATATTATAAGAAGTGAAGAAGATGAAGAAGAAGTTGTAATCAATTGCAAAAAATTAAGTGCTGAAGTAAAAAATAAAAGTTTCATTCTTATGATATGTATTTTTTCCTTTCTTTGAAATAAATAATATTCTTTTGAAAATTAAGAAAAAGCTTAATTTACACTTTTTCTTTATTAACTACTGCTTATCTTCAAAATTGTCACAATTTTCATTTTGCAAAAATATTGAACGATACTTGCACTAATAGCAGTTTTCATTAGTTTTTCAATTTTAATACATCGTTTCATTATTATTATTATTATCATTATTATTATTATCATCATTATTATTATAATTATTATTATTACTATTATCATTATTATCATTACTTTTCCGAATTATCAATGAATATTATTATCATTATTTATTATTTAATATTTATTATTATTATTGTTTATATTATCATTATTATTACCTTTAATTATTATTATTACCTTTCCGAATTGTCAAAGATTATTATTATCATTATTTATTATCATTATTATTACTACCTTTCCGATTTGTTAAAAATTGCAAGAGAAGAATGAAAAAGTAAATTTAATTCTTAAAAAAACTGTCTAAAGCTTTTTCTGCCACCTCTATTCAATATCATAATTTGTTATTTATGAATGAATATTTTTAAAATGACGTTTCATCGTTTTTCTCACTTGAATATATACGTACATTTGAATATACCAACCAACCTATTAATATTGCAATTTCATTGGATGTAAAACGTAGAAAGTATTAATGTCTGAAATCAAAATTTACTTATACCATTTCTATTCCAAATAAATTTATTATTAAATGCATTCGAAAGGATATGAAGTTCTTAATGAAAAAAAGTGTAGGCCTTTAAGAGATATAGGCCTTTCAACACAGAGAATTATTGCTTTACTTTTTTGCAATTAATTTAAATAGGTTTCTTCTAATTATAAACTACTAGCAATATTCAACGACTATCATACATTCTTTCAATATGTTTGTCGCTTTTTCTTCTTCCTTTTTTAAAATATAATCAACGAATTTCGATAGTCCTAAAAGATTTTATTAATTCAAATTAAATTTCTCTGCCACCTTTTAAAATAATAACACCTGTAATATAATTGCTTATACTTTATATAATTGATTATATTTATATCATTTAATTGATTATATTTGTATCTTATATAATTCATTATATTTTTCCAAATGTACTGAAATTGCATTATTGAATTGTCAACAAATGCTTACAATTATAAGTTATACGATATTGCAATTAAGCAATAAAACAAAAGCAATCATCGTATCCGATTTATTGCCTAACAATTTTAGAGATATCTATCTGTTAGCTTAATTAGTTAGTTTAGTTAATGTATTAATTCATTTGTTTTTAATTTTTAAAAAACTTTCTATTTTTCTCTTTCATTTGATGAATATCTTCCTTTCATGCTATTGCTATTGCTATTTGTGCATTTTAGGAATGAATATATAGTAGAAGTAGTAGGCATGGTAAAATAAGCTTTTATAGGGATATATATAGTAGGCAAGCTTCATTAAAAAAGATATAATTGGAAAAACTTTGCACAAAAAAATTGAAAGAAAAGCCTATTGAATACGATGTAAATAATTTTAAATTAAATGTTTGAGTGAAAATCAATAAAATTTTACAATTATTATTTTTTTAATTTGAAATAGAAATAGAAATGATTATTTAAATGTAAAATAATTAATTGTCTATTGCCATATTATCATTTGATTTATAGCTATATTATATATATATATATATATATTT